TAAGAAGTATGTAGGCATATAATAATATAAACATAGCCTTTACGTAGTTACCAAATATCTGGTAACACTTCTCCTTAAACGTTGTATTAGACTTAAAGTAAACAGATATTAAAAGATAGGTTTGTCTTTTAGCTATACGTCTCATCTGGACAAAGTTTTATCACTGATTGTATTTATTTTCAAATGTAATTAATTGCATAGTTTGAATGATTGAATATTCGAAGTAAATAAAATCAATACCGAGGCAACAGAGCACTTTTCACAGATCGTTTTTCAATCAAACTAAGCTCATGTTGTTTTGCGTTTTATTAAAGTTATACCAAAGCAATCTAGTTACGTGTTTAATGAGGTAATTCTAATTAGGTCAATGACCGCTTTGTGATTGACCCTATCGTTTCACCTTATTTTGTATTCTCTTCAGATTCTCTCATTTCCATTTGTTTAATAAAGTTAAGGTAGTCTTCTGGGAAAAGATTGATGTTTGAATAACAAATGCAGAGAAATATATAAATGTTTTATACAAGATTCATGGCATGCAGAAAAATCGATTTCACATAACGCTAAAATAGACAGACAAACAACATTTGATACAAGATAAGCAGAAGGCAGCAATTTACAAATGTAATGTGCATTTGTTTGAAACGAAGGTCAAACTTGTCCCGCATTACATTGTATTTCAGTCCAATACTATGTAGTTCTTTGTGTGTTTTTGACAGTTTAATACTATATAGACAGGACTGAGAAAGTATTTAATATTTCTTTAAACACAACGCCAACAGTTTTCTTTGCGGACATAACATTAATAGCAGTTGAGCTATATACTTGCCTATGAATGCAACGAAATGAAGTATTTGTTTAATTCAAGTTATATTATTAAAATACTTACCATAAATTGACTCAAACAAACTTTACACAAAAAAGAAAGTAAATATGGGGCAGATTGCCTGTCGTGATGTATTCCTTCGTAACAAAATAAATGAACACATGTCCATGATACGGACAGCTTTTACAACATGTGATTATTTCATATAACTTTCTGAAGAATTTTATTACATTTGATGGCACAAGGGTTACGTGTGTGTGTTTTCATTTATCTTGCGCACGAGATACTATTTCGTGGCAAGACTTAGTAACTCGTGGCCACGACGTAGTATCTCGTTCCCATGACTTAACTATCTCGTGGCAACGACGTAGCATCTCGTTCCCACGACTTAGCTATCTCGTGGCCACGACTTAATAAGTCGTGGCCAAGTTATAGTATCCTGTGCGGACGATATAAAAGAAAACACATACATGTCACCTTTGTGCCACCGTAGGTAGTATATGTCGTCTACGGTGAAAACAATTTATGAAAAGTTATAAATTTCTAACTTGTTTCCTCATGAAAAGAATTCTCTGTGTGATATCATTATTTGAGAAAACAGAAGGTTATAATCCCTATGTGACTGAAGTTGGCGTTTTTGGATTGAGGCATCAGAATTCCAGCCAACGTTTCGCCCTGCTTGATCGTAAGAGGCGACTTAATTGATTCGAATTAAGTATACTGGAATCTATGAATTTCTTAGCTACAAGCAGGTGAGGTGATTTGACCCCTCATGTTGCTTTTAAATTATCCATAATCATCTTTCTTGATTCGGAGACCTAAATTGTGTTTGTGCGTCCTAAAACCAAACAAAACTATGAGGGGTTTTGTTAACTTATATCATCTCATTTAACAAATTTAATAGTGAATGATGTTTTTTAAACGTTTTTGTATGATTGTATATATATACATATATATATATATATATATATATATATAATAAATATCATTCACTATTTAATTTGTAAAATGTAAAACCCTTCACTCATGGTTTGTTGAACATAGTGTTTGATTTGTATGCCAAAATATCACAATTGGGTCCATTTTTTCAGTTTTGATAACATACATAAGCTTTTTAAAGATGTAAATGTTTTTTAGCCAAGTAATGATTCTGTTTCTGCATTTATCTGATCTGGAAGAATGCCACCATTGTTGACATTTCTTCGCAAATATAACACCAAATCAATACAATTTCTGTATAAAGTGAACATTTATCTTTTTATGAATGGATGATTGTATCTTAAAGATGTCAGACTCAAAGGCAATCTAATCTATCATGTTTACTACGTACAATGGATTCACATAATTCGTTCTTTCGCTGAATATAACAAGTAAATGGGAATAATAAACATGTAATTTGTTTTCCTTTTATGGCATGACACATTAATGTAATGAATACTTCTTCAGTATAACCTGTAAATGGTATATTACAAAAAACAAATATTCGTTCTAAACTTTTTTTAATATTGCTCGCTTACACAGTCTCTCATAAGATTAAACATACTTTAATATTTTTGAAATTTTGAAAAATTTGTGGTCAACTATTTTTTAGATACAAGCTCAATTAATATAAGCGTTCCTAAATATATCTGTGATAGTCTTTGCACAATACGTTTCTGTTATTTTAATTAAATCGCTCTATTATATCATTCTGCCTCGTTATATATGAGAATGATGTAAAAGAAAGATTTCTTATTGCTTAATTTGTACCGTTTATTTCTACAAGCAGCTTTTTCTCGTTTTGTATCGCAAGGAATCCCCTCATTAAATCATGGCTATCTCAATAAATGAAGCGATATATATATAATATGTAAAATATATAGAGGATATTTGTTTGTTTGTGTGTAAGATGAGATTTTATTGTATCGAGTGGGCTTTAAAAACAGTATTCTCATACGGGTATTTAGGGTAAAATAATAACTAGATTACCTTTACCATCCACAAAAACATGAAGGTGTAATATAATTTGTTTTGTTGCTTCGCAAAGTAGGAAATAGTTTTCGGGGTTTTTTTTGTTTGTTTTTTTTCTTGTTCTTTTGTTTGTTTTTTTTTTGTTGTTTTTTATGTTAGATTTTAGTATGCGCATTTATTTTAGATATTTCATTAAATTGTATAACATTGATAAGGAAGATGGTCAATCAATTTCGGACTGAATTGAAAAAAATAACATGCATATTCTTCTTGAAATACACTCTCTAACTCTGTGTGAATATTTTCTTAGAGTTCTCGTGAAACAAAAATACCACATAACAAGCACAATCCCTTTTTATAGATAATTAATATCTGGATAAATAGCTTTCTGCGCAAAGAATGCATTCTTTTGTTTTAGCTGTTTATATTCATGTTTCTGCCTTTTGAATTTTAATAAAGCAATTTATCTTCATACTAGTATATTTTCTATCATCACCACCCTTGCCTTCACATGCATACACGTGATTGTTTACAAAGTGATAAATGTCTGCGTGTCTTTGATTGGATCCATTCCAGTGACTTAAAGCGTTTTATTCACTTCCAAGGGTTTTATAACCGTTACCATGCCAAGGTTTTCATAACCGACGTTTCAAAAACACATGTTTCATTGCATATTTGCCGTGACAAATTAAACCTTATGTGCTTTTCCTATTTAGGGTGAATGTTAAAATGTTTTTTTTTATTGTTTTTGTTTTTTGATCAGTATTATCATTTGCATTTTATGAAATAGATGTATTTGGTTTTATTCAGTTCCCTGTATCAAATAATGCACGAACAGTCGTAATGACAAATGAATTGTATTCTTTGTTAGCATGTCCTGTTAACATGGAATGTATTTACATGGTTGAATATTTCATTTTACATGTAAAAGCAGATTTAACTATCTTATTTGAAAGAATTAGATTTATTTTGATTACAGATTGGTATGGTATACTGGTAATCTCAGAGTATTTCTCTGAATATATTAAATGACGGGGACATAAGATGTTTATTGCCAACTACATTCCTGCATATGTAAAGAGCGCATTTAACTTTAGAAAAATCATGCAAAATCATAAGTGTTAAGAACCCTTTGTTCCTTGAACCCTGACTGTATCTAATATCCCAACTTTATTTCGTTAAAATATGTTCCAATATGTTAATAAAATTAATGATAAACACGATAAGGGAATCAGAATAACTCGTGCGCCCAGTTGTACATTTAACAATAATAGTCTGCACAAAAGAAAGTAATTAAATAATGCTTTTTTTAAAATATGTTTTACAACATCTACTTATAAAAGGCTACACTTGAATGGAGTTCTTTGGTTTTTGATAGAATATGGTAAATGACGGGGACATTAGATGTTTATTGTCAACTACATTCTTATCAGCTAATACATGATTTCGATTTAATGCTAAAACAGTTAAAAGCGCATTGCAATCCAATCACTTTACCAACGAAGTTAGAATGAAGCGCACACTTGAAGCAACGTTGTTTTGTTCGGGTTAAACGGTGACATTGACAAATTACTGGTCATTCCGCGCCTTACACTATTATACACAACAGCCATGTTAACATGGCCATCCCCCGCCAAATGTGTTTGCTTATTGGAAGAATGTATATGTAGCAAAGCAGAATAATTCAATTTAAGAGGTCTTTTGGTAATGAAAACTGATGGCTGAAATGATTACAAGTTTGAAACCTATGTGAATACTGAATAAGAAAATTCTGAAAATAAGAAAGGGCAGTAACTGAAAAATTATGCAGGTTAGGTTATCATTCTTGTGTGCTGCACTCTTCCTCAATGAGATCTATCCACCTATGAAGATTCAAGTTGACACCTCTAACACTTTATGAGATAAGCTCCGGACAAAAAGTATGAAAAATAACAAAGGGCAATAACTCAAAAATTATAAAGGGAAGAGCTATCATTCTTGCGCACAGCATTCCTTCTCAATAAGATAAATCCACCTATGAAGTTTCATGTTGACATCTCAAAGACTTTTTGAGTTATGCTCCACTCAGGTGAAAAATTAAATATGAAAAATAACAAAGGGCAATAACTCAAAAGTTATGACTGTGCACTAAACACCTTCTGAGTGAGATATATCCACCTATGAAGTTTCATATTATCTCAAAGCTCTGGTCTGGACAAAAATTATGTTTAAAAATAGCAAATAGTGTAGGAAATGGACCAGTAAATCATGCTTATTTTGGGAGTCAAGTAGTCTATGTCTAGGAACAGTAACTTTTATATACCAAAATGTTCACAAAGGTTAGCAGAATACGAAACAAAATTTCGTTTTTATCCAAATGGTCGGATATTCAAGAAATCCAAGATGGCGTCCAAGATGGCCGCCAAAATTGTGAAAAAACACTAATTATCATTATTTGGCAGTTTTTTCCAAGAATTTCTATGTTGTTTTTGTCAAGACATATAAATACGATAGAAAATACATATTTCTTCTAAAAATATTTGTTTTTGGTCATTGTAAAGGGAGTAATATAAATTTTGTGAAAGAAGTTTTGTGAAAAATGTGCAATAAAATAACATAAAAATAAAATTTGATTCCTATTTTGCATTTCCATGATAACAAACTTCAATGCTTATTTCCATTTCGCACTTTTGTGCAAAACTACAACTTCCGCTGTTTACATTGATACCTTTTTTATTGTTTATGGAAGCTTCTGCTTTGACATATTATGATTTTAAACGGGTGGGGTATTATTAAATTCAATTAATATTTACATCGCTAAAATGATGTTGTAAAAGGTTACATAATATAAATCTAAGTAAATATTATTATTAAGTTTAGTTGTTTAATAATTATTATATGTACATAACGAAATATATTGAAGGTTTTGTATAAATACAGTCTCGCACAAATATTTTAAGAAGTAGCATAGTACTCGGATATGCTTAATTTTGGATATGTTTAAAACCAAAGCTACATTTGTATCATGTTATTATACATAACGGTGTTTTAGTGTATAAATTAGACATTAAGGTTCGTTTTTATTAATCCATTTTCTATTTTTTTTATGCTTTGAGCAGTACAGTCAAAATATTTTGAGAGGTTCGAAGAATACAAAATTCGGAATACGAATGAAAATTTCATTCAAACAAAATAGTCGGATAATCCAAAAGTTCAACAAGATTGCGCCCAAGATGGAGAAAATAAACACATATTTGTACTGTATTGTAACTGGTTATTTATTTCATTACGTGAACATGTTTATATTGTGTGTGTATTATCCAAAATTAATTAACAGACATATGAAAATTATCACTATTCCTTCCATATATTGTAAAAATATATTACAAAAACGTTGTTTGTCATGTAAAAATACACATGTTTACCAACATACATTCATATATTTGCATTTTAAACAGTGACTCACAGATTCAGTTCATAAAGTGTATACATTTTTGAATTGAACATTAACAACAATATCATGTTAAAACAAACTAGTAAAAAATGTTATTGCAATCCATTATACACTTGTCTAAAACTGATTTTGAAACATTCGGTGATTATATTCTAAAGTAAACAATTGACATATCAATACAAAATTACATGTAGTAATAATTGACAGCAGAAGACGTGCTGATTTGATTGGTATATCATTCCAAAATTAAAATCATTACCAGCTAGTGCATATATTTGTTTGTACTTTTTCTTATTTATAGAAACAAAGAAGGAATTTAATAGATTAAGGATATAGAACTTATTGGATATAATTATGACACTTGTACTTATATATTATTACCTAAATTTGACTATGAAACATGAAAGTATTGAGTTATTTTACTATGGTATTATCGTAATTATACTGTTGCAAATTACAGAACATTACCATCAATAAACATACATGTATTTTTCTAATAAGACGGTAAATAAATATTAGTATCCATTGTACATGTTCAAAGTCATTTTATTTGTTTCGACCTAACATTCTAGTATCTAGTCCTCATCTGAGCTGAAGTCCTCATTGCTGAATACTGCAGATAATGTATAAATATTTGTGCACATTATATCGGCCGTTTTAAGGTTTGACGTACAAGAGCAAGCCATTGTACAAGGCTGCTGATTTGCGAAACAACTGCAAGTCTCGTTGCATTTGGTGCATTGGCATGTTAAGTCATTTAGCAATTCTGGTGCTGCTGGTGGTTGTGTCATCCGTGTAGGACTAATAATAGAACCATCTTCAGTGATGTCATACCCAAAGTTTGTAAGTGGTGGAAGGTCATGAATAGCTGTTGTGGCATGTCGCCAAATCCAGAGTTGCAGTAGGCATCGTGAGCAGTGCTCATAGAAACTGTTTTCTGTTGGCGGCAAGCTTCTCGGGTGTTTTGACTTCATTGCCATTTTGCATCTCACTTCATTCAACGACTGAGTATCGCGTCCCCCGTACAGGTTAACAACAAACTTTGTGCAGGCCATCTTCTGTATTCTTGAGAGATTAATGCTTTCTCCTACATTATGCAACTGTTGATATTTACCGGGATATTGCATCATCTGCTTAAACACTGTTTTCTTTCCCTTACCAAAGAAACTACTAGTGGTGTCACAGCCAGTCAAACAATATACAGTCAGGATAATCTTTATTTCTTCACCGCCTAACTTCTGTTCTAAATCGTGAACAGGAATATATCGTCGATGGTCTGTATGGGTATTAACATGACCTGTTGACATGTACAAGTACTTTGCACCAATTGACTTGTGATGGTGTATTAATAAAACCAACACATCTGTATCTGGAGACTGGACTACTATGGAAGAAGAACCAGTGTCTGCCGCATATTTTGCATGCAATATCATGAGTGTGTCCGCTTCTTCTTGATTAGACCTCAGTGCTTGTATTTCGATGCAATCGTCTGTATTCACCTTCAGACACATCTCATCATTACCACCATTTATCAACAGTATTTCATGTGCTTTCAGATGACAGCAAGCCTTTTCTTTAATAAACAATGTATAGTACTGTGCTAAGCGTTCTTTATTTGTACCACTACATAAAAATTGTTTCCAATCCTTTGGAACTTGCAGATCACTGTTGATATGTATATTGGTCGGAGCAATATCTCCTCTATCTCTTCGGGTCTCTGATTTTGGGCTAAGATTTTTGTACTTGTCGAAAACTATATGAATATACTTGACTCCTGGAATCGCACGTGCTTTCATTAGGATATATTTAAGAAAAAATTCAGCCATATCCAAAAAGGTGTTTTGGGCACTCTGAACTTGTAGTAATTGTATTACTGCCATGCCATCAAATATGACAGTATCAGCGTTTTCAATCATTGTTGTGTTACCTTGTAGCAGCCCTTCAAGTTTTGACATAAAGTCAGATTTTTTAGATTTATGCATCCTTCCTTGCTCCGTAAACATGCTCAAGGGAACCAGTGTGTTTTCGAAAGAAAATACTCGTTCAAGTGGAATTTTCTTGTAAGCGTTTATGGCCAATAGTCGTTGAAACATCACTTCCCCACTTATTATTTCAGATTTTGTCTTAAAAACATGTTTCTTTTTCATTTCAGCCATGGTTTTTATATTGCTACGTGGCATTGGAGTAAAAAAGTTTTTCTCAGGCGGATCTGAACCATCGGGTTTTATTACAAGTCTCTCTGAAACAAATGTTTCAAACATATTTGCTCCTTTTTCAAAGCATTCTGCCAAAGACTTCTCTATTTCATCTGTCGCATGCACTCCGGTGGCAAAGTTAATCAGCTTCTTTGGAGTTTTAGTAACATCAAATGGGTCTATGAAGTTAGTGTCAAAGATGTTTACAAGCTTATCAACTAACTTGTCATACATCTTTCGTCTTGCATTCGTGTCGCTGTGATGCTTACGATCATGTTGGCCTTCTTTTGTAGAAACAATGCTTTTGTGAAAAGTAGATGAATACTTTGATGCTAATGGCCGTGACAGAAACCATCTCGCAAGAGCATTTTCACGTAACGTGAGACCTATTATGCCACCATTCCCTTTCAGGTCTTTGTTTTGGGTTACTTCTAATGTGTAATCCATCCACACGTTGTTGAATGTTCCATATGAAAGCTTTGCAGTAAACATTCCATCATTGAACCCTTCCTCAATCTCTGAAGGCAGCCTGTTCATCTGCAGCTGCTGAACAGTCATGTATTTTGCATACGTGTTCCGGTTTGCTGCAAAAAGCAGAGGTATTAGTTGTAATTTGGAATATTGTTGTATTGTCCAGTTTGGAGACCGTGTTGATGAAACAAACAGTTTGAAAGGCGTTGAGATTTTTACCAGATAGTCGTCCCAAAGCTTGAACGTTGCTGAAATACTTCTGCTATCTGTCCGGAATTCTTCAATCAAAGGTATGACATGAGTAGATAGAGTGTTATAATATTCCGCTATCTCATGTTCTGTGTATTTCATACTGCTTTCTCTTCGAAGCTTTATCAACATTGCATATACGTCTTGATGCATTTCTTTGTTGTTGTCGTCACACCAGACCTCGAAATTCTTCAGAAACCGTATAGTTAATGCTTCATCAACAAGTTTCAAAGCTGTAAGCCCTCTGTCGAAGTCTTTTCCTGAAAGAATATTTGTAACTGTTGCAGGTGCGTAAACACCGGACTCTGTTAAAAGTTGTCTGAGACCTGCATCTCCAAATAGAAATCCTATCCCTGCCATTATGGACATTAGCATGTGCATACCGCCCTCCAATGGAATGACACCTTTAAGCTCCTCACGTCTTGTCCAAATAATTTCTAGTGCCTTTGGTAAAAGACTCATGTCAAACACAACTGGAACATATGATTGGCCTAAAGCATTCACAACTTCCTTTGTGCGAAGTAGTGTTGTATACACCGTATTATAGTCAGTTGGAGTCGCCATTATAATTGGATTGTAGGAAATGTTGGAAACAGAATTGTGAGAATCACTGGTTTCTGACTGAAAGATGTTCCAATGAGGGATGCTTGGGGTTTCTGATATGTCTTCACAAAACACTGTACAGCGTCCAAAAGCATACAACAATTCTTTCAACTTTGCTTGTTCAACAGATTGTGATTCTATTGGCTTTATTTCTTTCAATGTAACTGGAGGATCAAACACTGGTCCTGGTCGAGAGACTGGTTTATTGTATGGTATAATTCTGCAAAGACTTCCACCAGGTAAGGATTTGCTATCAAATGTTCGACTTCCTGTCCTAGGTAGACGTGGTAAAGGCGCGTCTTCGGCGCACCTACTGGATACAAGTATACTTGTCATGGCATGCGTGGTTCGTTTACCATCAACAGTTCTCTCATTATGATCCCAATTATCGGCGACTGCGACTATGAGCTTTCCACCTTCATTACGGGGGGTTATAGTCTCTGGTACAAGTCCACCTGATGTTGTAACCTTCTGGGAATCGATGGCTTTGTTTGCAGCGGATGAGAGAAACATGCGTAGCTCTGAATATGAGATTGAGTAGCCCATGCAGTTCATATCTTCAACAAGGTGTTTACTGCCAAATTCAGTGTACAAATGAACTGCAAGTCCAAGATGTTTCGGTAATGGAATACCTGTAACAAGACTGGTCAAATCACAAGCAAGTGTAAGACATTTCTTGTCCATGTGTTCAGTTGCGTCTTTGAACGACTTGCTATCATGAAGCCAGCAAACTGCCTTATAAAGCAAAGGGTCGATAAAGTCCTTCTGAGCACTGAGAGACAATTCATCAGGTGAATAATATTGATTGTCTATCTTTGTTTTACCTTCTAAAATTCTCTTTCGTAATATGCCTACAGCTTTGTGGACTATTGCTTCATCAGTCTCTTCATCGGTATCTATGTCATATTTGCACTCATTGTGTTGTTCAATAATTTGTTCAAGATATTTTGCTTCCGTCATAGCATCGCCTAATGTTTTAGATGATGAACAAATTAAATCTGATTTCCCCCTCTGTTGTGGAACAAAAGATACATCAGGCCAAATGTCACTAAGTAGTTTCTTTAAGTATGAACTTTTGTAATTTTCAGCACCTGTACTGCCAGCCTCACTGACAATTTCGATAAATCGTTTTCTTAATGTGGACAGGTAATACACTTTCTTTTCAAATATTATTGCTTGCTCATACTCATTCTTTAGTTTTTCAGCAGCTTGTCTATAAATGGGTGTATATTTGTCAATTAAATGTTTCTCTGGGGTCGTTTGATTTGTCTCATAGTATTTGGAAAGACAGCCCTTTTTGCGATGATACCTGGCTTCGACTGCCACCAGATCACCATTTGGGACACGAAGCAATCTGTCAATTACCTTCTGGTCCTGGCGTTTTTGAGCAGCACACAGAACCTTTGCATACGTAGAACCTACTTTGTCTGAAATGGAATTTTCAACATATGACCAACTTCTAGAATACCCCTTACTACCTTTAGTATTATAATTATCACGTCTAGGGTCACACTTTTCCCCGCAAATAAAACATTGCATTTTCCAGTCAAATAGTTCATTACTAGATCTAGTCTTTAGGGGTGTAGCTATGTTTTCCTTATCTTCCATGGTATATTTGTCCATGATGTTTATATTTCTGTTTCAAATCTTATACCAAATCCATCCAATTTTCTGAAAGAAAATATGTTCAATGTAGTTCAATTTTTAGCAGGAATATGGTTATAAAACAATTCATTGTGGAGATTAATTACTGCCATTTATATGCACGCTTCTACTGGATGGATATAACAGACCTGACATATGAAGAAAATACATAGATATTTGGATTATTATTACAAAACTGATATAAAAATTTAAATTGCAATGTATTATTTTAGTTACACTTTTACTATTTGATTCACAATACCTTGTTGTCTGAAATTGTCAAACGCTGGTACATGTTCATATCCGAAAGAAGAACGTACTATAGTCATGTCAGGCACAACACTACCTGAAAAAAGGTACAATAGCAATTGTTTGAATAAACAAATTAATTCAAAATTAAAATTATTTTGACTTCATCATTATTATAACCTTTTTTTTGCTACGTATAATATTTACTTTCACCAGTGATCAACAGATTTCCTAGTGTGTGACTTAAAATTTTTATGCTTAAACATTTTGAAAATAATGCAGTTTTACAGATATCTATTTTTGACCATCATGTTTATGATAATTAAATAAATGTTATGGTCCAATAGGAGAAATGAACATGATTAAACAATTTATTATTTCCATTGTTTCAAATCTTATCCCAAATCCAACCAATTTTCTGAAAGAAAATATGTTCAAATTGTAGTTCAATTTTTAGCAGGAATATGGTTATAAAACAATTCATTGTGGAGATTAATAACTGCCATTTATATGCACGCTTCTACTGGATGGATATAACATACTTGACAAATGAAGAAAATACATAGATATTTGGATTATTATTACAAAACTGATATAAAAGTTAAATTGCAATGTATTATTTTAGTTACACTTTTATTATTTGATTCACAATACCTTGTTGTCTGAAATTGTCAAACGCTGGTACATGTTCATATCCGAAAGAAGAACGTACTATAGTCATGTCAGGCACAACACTACCTGAAAAAAGGTACAATAGCAATTGTTTGAATAAAAAAAAATCAAAAATAATCTTCATCATTATTATAACCTTTTAAGGCTACTTATTTACTTGCATCAGTGATCAACAGATGTCCTCGTGTGTGACTTAAAATTTTATATTTTTATGCTTAAACATTTTGATAATAATGCAGTTTTACTGATATCTATTGCTAACCATGAAAACTTATGATAATTGAAATGTTATGGTCCAAAAGGAAAAACGGACATGATTAAACAATTGATTATTTCCATTAATAGCATAACTTAGCATAACATAAAGATACATAAATAAGTTGAATTAAAAAAGAACCTTCAGAATATCAAGTTGTTCATCATTGGTGAAGCTAATTCATCTTTGATGCACCATACTCTTTAGACATTGGTTATTTAAGCAAACAAGATTGGTCGCAAATAAACAGCTCTAAATTCAAATGTTTATCACAGTCTGAAAATACATAAAATGACAGTTATTAGATGATAATGTACTGTGAAGACTTTTAAGATACTTAATTTGGCAGAATACTTCTTTGTCCGGTTATTAGTTCATATCCGACTACTAATACACTTTTGTAAAAAAAAATGAAAAGGGGAACACCTTAGATGTTAATATTCAAATGCAAAATGCTTGATACTGTGTTGAAAAATCAAATTTAAAAGAATTCATTGGAATTCTGAACATTTTGTTACATATTTATTTGTTATATTGTATTATGTCATTAATGTAACTTTATTATGTTACACTGAACCTTGATATTTCAAACAATAATACTGGTGACAAGCCTCAAAGAAACAATAGTTAACTAAGTAATTTAAATTGTCACTTACCTGATTGTAATATTGGCTCAATGACACTTCAATAAACCTATGTCTTGTCTTCTGTTACCTTTGTTTTCTCTCAGCACTCTCAGATGACATTGAAAATACAGACGACAACAAATGGCAAAGTGTATCAAAGGGAAGTAACCATTTGACATATAATTGTCATTGTAGGGAATTACTTTCAGTAATATGAAATATAATGTTATATCCATGGTCAATTAAGAATGTCATTTGAAAAAAGACTGATTTTGAATTATACATTTTTTGTACAATTGTACAAATGCATAAATATCTTTTCTTCATATATGGAAGAGGTATATATTTTATAACTTGTAACCATAGCAACCACGAAATTTCAATGTAGTTGCTAACATCAAAATTTCCAAGTTTTTGTTAACATCACACTTTATGTATGTATTTCAGAGAAAATAAGTAAATCAACAACGAGAAAAAACAATTTATTGGAAAATAAATTATCAGAAATAGATGCAAATTCAGTGATGTAAATTGTACCTGAATTTAATTGTACCCCACCCATTTAAAGTCATAACGTGTCAATGGAGAAGTGTCTATTAACAATAAAATTGACATCACTGTAAAGAACTTAAATTGTAGTTTTGCACAAAAGTACAAAATGGAAATAAGCATTGAAATTTGTTGTCATGGAAATACAAAATTGGAATCAAACTTCATTTTTGTGGGGTTTTTTTTGTATTTTTTTCATAATATTTGTTCAATTCTTTTATCTAATCCTATACAAATGACCAAAAACTAATATATTTACAACAAATATGTATTTTCTATCGTATGTATATGTCTGGACAAAAAACAATATAGAAATTATTGAAAAAACTGCCAAATAATGATAATATGTGTTTTTTTTCAAAATTTTGGCGGCCATCTTGGACGCCATCTTGGATTTCTTGAATATCCGACCATTTGGGTTAAAACGAAATTTCGTTTCATATTCTGCAGACCCTTACGAACATTTTGGTATATAAAAGTTACTGTTCCCAGACGTAGACTGGTAGGGTCCTTCTTACCGGTCTGAGTTTCCTACACTAAAAGGGCAATAACTGAAAAAATATGCAGGGTAGAGTTTACATTATTGTGCACTACACACCTCCTCAATATGATCTATCCACCTTTAAGTTTCAAGTTTATACCTCAAATACTTTTTGAGACATGCTCCGGACAAAATGTATGAAAAATTACAAAGGGCAATAACTCAAATATTATAAAGGGTAGAGTTATCATTCTTGCGCACAGCATTCCTCCTCAATAAGATCTACCTTCCTATGAAGTTACATGTTGACATCTCAAATACTTTTGAGTTATGCTCCACTGAAAAGTTAAGTGTGAAAAATAACAAAGGGCAATAACTCAAAAAATATAAAGGGTAAAGTTATCATTATTGTGCACTGCACACCTCCTGAGTGAGATCTACCCACCTATGAAGTTTTATGTTGATATCTCAAAGGCTTTTTGAGTAATGCTCTGGACAAAAATAAGTTTGAAAAATAACAAAGGGCAATAACTGAAAAAATAGACAGAGTTAGAGTTATCATTCTTGTGCACTGCACTTCTCCTAAATATGATCTATCCACCTATGAAGTGTCAAGTTGATACCTCAAATACTTTTTTGAGATATGCACCGGACAAAAATGTGGGACGGAAGGTCGGACGGAAGGACGGGCGAAGACTATTTCTATATCTCCCCCCCCCCTCCGATAAAAAGAGTTAGTACACGTGAATGAGTTCAATCTTACTTCCTTTAAGTATTTGATCAGGGTTTGAGATGGAACTGAGGCAAACAGTACTCTAAGGGCATTGACACGATAAAATTTTCCCAAATATGTACAAAGCATGGCAGGAAAAATGTCTGACAGTCAAATATTCATCGCAAGCAATACATAATGGAACATCGTCTTCTGTTAAAAGTTTAGAATGTATTACTCTAGTTTTACCAATTCTGTATATGCTTTTTCATTTCCTCGTATTCCTACATAGTTTGAGATTCAAACTAATTTGACTGTCATGCTTTTCATAATATAATGAAATCGCAAAAGAAGTTTCTTAAATGATAACAAGGCGGATAATGAATCAGAAAATGCTGTGAAATGTATGACAATGCAAGATCCATCATTACATACAGATGCATTATCCGGTAGTTTAGATCTAAGTGTAAAGTGATTTTCAAAGACGGCTACACCCACTCACTGTACATTAATCTTTAGCCGTTCGCGTATTTTTAAGTTTTCTTTGAATTTGAAAAATGTTCATTGAAAATGCTATTGTCTGGCGATTTGTATGTCCGCGGAGAAAAATCTTCTTCGACGTTTTGGAGATTACATTTTGAGTCTATTTAAAGGTTGTCTAGACTATTTTACTCGAAGGCCTAATGATTTAATTTCCTTCTGTTTGTTAAAAAATTGTCGCTATACTTTGGTTTGAAAATTACATTATTTCTCAAGAGATATTTACAATTTGATGATACTCTAGTTGCAAAGAGAAAGTGTTTTTTTATGTAGATGACGGGAAGATTCTGCTGGTACTATCTACGAATGTCTTTATGAATTATGAAGGATTTATATAAAATGGAACATTTTCATCAAATTGTGTGCTGTTGTTAGCGAAACGGGTCGTAAAACTTTGCACTTGTCTCTCTCAAGATTTATTCTATTGAACTGGGAAATTAAACAAACTACAATTTTTATTTTTGAAAATATTTGATAAAAATAATTTATGTCATCTGGAAAGATAGCCACCTACATTATTTGTTTGAGATTAGGTGGTTTTGAAGGTGTGCGTGGAGCAGGCGTGTTCACGTATTTTTATTATCTAAATACCGCAAAGAGAATAATTTGATACAAAATACCAATAAATATATATAATTCTTCCCCGCCTATACCAAAAATACGATGTAAATGTTTTAAATGGCACTTTTATCAAAACAAATATGTTCCTTTTAAAAGCTGTAATTTGATAAATAAGAACGGACAAACTATAAGAAACACTTTTAGGTAAAATATACAAGAAAGGATCAATAAGATATACAGTAAGGAATTGTACTTTTAATTAATATTTTTTCTTATATTACGCCAACATATAATTTGTTAAAGACTTGTTTTAGCAAGTCAAGTACAACAAACACAAAGATAAACAAGGCATGGCGGCATACTCCGACATAAAACTGCAACATAGAACCATCGACAAGAAGGCAACCAAAATCACATATTTTATGCTATGCAATTCCTTTTGATCGATATGTGTGTCCACTACGTCAAACATTCCTTTATTGTAAATCGTTTTACTGATTGTAAGTGTTCTAGAAATATTTCTGTAATTAACACTTCCGAGGGATCACTCGCCAGATTTTTGTTCGGTTGGAGTCAAAAGCAAATAGTCGACAATACGAGTCTGCGAGTTTGAACATACATATATCTCTCTTTTCTATTTGTTTTATAAGCTCAACAGCGAATGTCAATTAAGGATCTCCTCTTTTCTGGATACG